GAAACTTGCGAGTTTCGGCCTAGTGCTCGAAAGTTTGGCCTTTTCGTGGCTAAACTGAAGCTCCTTCTATGACCGTTGGGGTTTTAATTCAGCTGTTACGGAGTTAATTCTTTGGAATTAATTCCAATTTTAATTTTAATTCCAAAATAAAAGCTATTTAACTCCTTGATCCCTATATAAGAGAGGGTAGTGAGAAGCAGTTTTACACACAGAAAGAACAACAAGCACACTACACGAAACTTTGTTTTCCAGCTTCAAAATTCTGCTTCTACTCCTTCTCTTTAGCCTACTGTGTTCATAGCCGTGTCTTGCTCGCCGGATTCCTTGTTTGAGTGCTCAAACATTGAATCACTAGCAAGTTTTATCCTGGGAAGCCTAGGCCACAACGCTCCTAGCATCTTTGGGAGGTGGCAAATAAGGTTTTAAGGAAAGAGTGCTCACTTGACTCTTGCAAAAACCCAACACCAAACACTAGCCAAATTTCTTCATATTTTCTTCCATTCTTTCCAGAAAATAATAGTCACTTTTATTTGATTATTATTTGTTTTCCTACCAACGGTTCCTACACGTGTATATATATATATATATATATATATATATATATATATATATATATATATATATATATATATATATATATATATATATATGTATATATATATATATATATATATGTATATATGTATATATGTATGTATGTATGTATATATATATATATATAAAAAATTGAAGAAATGTATCGTTTCCTTCCTATTATGTCTATATATTTGAGTTTGATTATGATTCTCTATCCCGTCTTTCTGAGACTTCCTTCTTATATATACATGTAATCTGTACACTGTATTATTCCATTCAACAGATACAACTCTATTAGCCGTCATCTGTTATCAACTAAGCTAGGGTTTTTTTCCAATGGCTGACGGATCTGTTAATTCTTCTGAACGGACCGTCTCTAATGTTCCTATCTCCTCCGCTACGTCGGTGGTTAATTCTTTATCCACCGCTCACAACTTCATCAGCATTAAGCTGACCTACAAGAACTACTTGTTTTGGAGAGCCCATGTTGTTCCTTTTCTTGATGGTCACGATCTTCTTGGATATGTTGATGGAATGAATCCATGTCCTCCAGCCACCCTAATCGGCGACGATGATGATACGGCAACCAGCAGCTCAATCCAGCGCATCGTGTGTGGGTCCGGTAGGACCAAGCCTTATTGTCCATGTTGATGTCGTCCTTCTCCGATGAGGTCATGCCTCTCGCCATCGGCCACCGCACCAGTAGGGCTGTCTAGACTGTTGTGGTTGGAGCACTCTCGTCGTCTTCCTGCTCCCGTGGTCTCAATATACTCGGACAATTGCAGACACTTGATCTAGGAGACATGCCCGCAGCTGACTACATCCGCAAGGCAAGGGTTATGGTGGAGGAGCTCGCTCTCGCCGGTCGACCTATACCACTCGAAGAACAAAACCTTTACGTTCTTCGGGGGTTACAGCCAAAGTTATGGGGTCTCGTATCATCTCTAAACGTACGCGGCCAGAGGAGGCTCACGCTTGCGGATCTCTTGGGCGCAGAGGAATTTATAACTCGCGGTGGTCCAGAGGAGGCTCACCGGCCGCATTCACGGTGCAAAAGGCGGCCAGAAGGGGCGCGATTCCGGGCGCGGTAACGGTGGCCGTGGTTCCTGCCAGAACAGCGGCCAAACCAGCCAGCCGTGTGGTGGTGGCGGCGGCCGTGGGCGTGGTGGAGGACGTAATGGCAACTGGCAACCCAAGTGTCAACTTTGTCATGTGTTAGGTCATACTGCTTCCACATGCCATCTTTGGTGTGCCAAGGATCCTCAGGCTAATGTCATATAGGGGTGAGAAAAATATCGGTTAACCGACTGAAAATCGCTAACCGATAACCGAACCGCCCGAAAAAATCAGTTATCGGTCGGTTACGGTTATCACTTTTAAAAAATTGTCGGTTTTTCAGTTATACTACGGTTATTGTAGGTCGGTGACCGATAACTGATATATAGTATTTATATAATTATATATTTATATATATACAGCCCATTCAGGCCAATCTACAGACTACAGCCCATAGTTAATAATGAATCTGTAGCTCACGCCCCATAAGTCCATATTAGACTAAGTGAGACAAAGAGTCAAAGACAACTCTAAGATCCCTAATCGCCAAAGAATCTGAGAGACTGAGACAACTCCTAGTACAGTAGTACTCCACACGTTCCACTTCAATCCTCTACGGACCACACTCGTCTTCGTCAGTTCCACTCCAGTCCTCCAACGACCAACGCCACTGTTCGTCAGTTCCACTGCTTGTCGGCGATGAAAGTCTCAGCTCTACACCGGTACACCTTGTCGACCGAGAAAGACAGTCCGTCTAGACATTCAGACAGTCCGTCCAGATTTCCTATTAATTTTTAGTCTTTCTTTAAATTAATTTTTAGTCACTACCTAGCACTGGCAGTGTGTATTAAATGTTGGATTTTAACTTTGGTTTGAATTAATTTGCTTTAAGTCGGTTTCTTGGTAACCGACCGAAACCAACTGAAAACCGACGGTCGGTTTTCGGTCGGTTGTGGAACGACCTTCGGTCGGTTACGGAGGTAAAAATTAACGGTTGGTTATTCGGTTTTTTGGTCAGTTATGTAACTGATCGACTGTTTGCTCACCCCTAATGCCATATATCAAGAAACTCCTTCGGATCCTCAAGGTTCCCACACTTGGCTTCCAGATACAGGTACCACCAATCATGCCACTCCGGACATCGATGCTCTTTCCTTCTCGGAGGACTACAATGGTAATGACACATTACGTGTCGGTGATGGTATGGGGTTACCTATTAGTCGTATTGGTCACGTTACCTTTAATTCCCCCTCTAGATCTTTTCAATTGTCTAATATCCTTCATGTTCCTATTTTGTCTACATCTCTGTTGTCTGTTCAAAAATTTGCATAAGATAATAAGGTGTTCTTTGAGTTTCACCAATCTTTTTTTTTTTGTTGTGAAGGATATCAACACCAAGGAAATTCTTCTACGGGGTAATAGTGCTGGTGGGCTTTACAAGCTTCCCATTCCGAGTTCGTCACCAACTGCATTTCTTTCGACTAGAGCCTCAGCATCTGTGTGGATGATCGTCTTGGTCATCATCATCAACGAGTTCTCATTCAAATTCTTTCCTCTTGTTCAGTTAGTGGGTCTTGCAGTAATATTCATTGTTCTTTCGGTCTATGTAATGCATGTCAGTTAGGGAAATCTGCACGGTTTCCCTTACCGCGTGTTGAGTCATCTAGTTCATGTGTCCTTGATTTAATTTACACAGACATTTGGGGACCTGCTCCCATTATTTCTACTAATGGATATCTTTATTCGTTATCTTTGTTGATGACTACTCTCGTTACACTTGGTACTTTCTTCTGTCACAAAAGTCTGATCTCTAAGCTATCTTTGATAAGTTTCGGGTTGTGGTTGAACGTTCATTCAATCGCAAAATTAAATCCATTCAGTCTAATCTAGGAGCTAAATATAAAAAGTTGCACACCACCTTGGCTCAGTTAGGCATTCTTCATAGACAATCATGTGCGTATACTCATATACAGAATGGTCGTGTCGAAAGAAAGCATAGACACATTATTGAAACTGGTCTAGCTCTCTTAAGTCGTGCCTCCATTCCTTATAAGTTTTGGGGTTATGCTTTTGAGGCTGCGGTTTATTTAATTAATAAAATGTCATCCGATGTGACAAATAAATCCAGTCATCATCTGCTATTGCATAAATCCCCTCCATCCTATTCTTTTCTTCGTGTCTTTGGTTGTCTGTGCTACCAATATTTGCGTCCCTTCAATCATCATAAGATGTCTTACAGGCCCTCTCCATGTGTTTTCCTAGGCTATCCTGAGTCATTTAGGGGGTATAGGTGCATGGACCTTCAGACTAATAAGGTATATATATGCAGACATGTTCGGTTTGATCAGAATGTTTTTCCTTTTGGCAAGACAGTTTTGCAGGCACCACCAGTTCAAATGACTCAACCATGGGCTGAGTATGTACTTATTCTAGCTTCATCATCCGTCTTGGCTCAACCGGTCCCGGCCCTCAGCGGACACCGAACCTGTTGCCGCTCAGCGACGCCGTGGTCGGCCGAGAGGTCGGTCGTCGCGCCCCACGGTTCGGACTCACTCCATGGCCACTCGTAGTCACGCTGATGGTTCTCTCTTGGCTCTATCAGCCCAGGTTTGCCCCACTGAACCTACTTGTTATACACAGGCTGTTAAACATGATGAATGGCGCAAGGCTATGGATGATGAATTTAATGCGCTCCTTCAGAATGAAACCTGGTATATCGTCCCATCTCAGTCTAATATGAATATTATTGGGTGTAAATGGCGTTTTCGCACCAAAAGGAAAGCTGATGGGACAATCGATCGAAACAAAGCAAGATTGGTAGCAAAAAGATTTAATCAGGTACCCAGTCAAGATTTTTTGACACCTTCAGCCCAATGGTCAAACCGACTACTATCAGGTTACTTTTATCTTTGGCTATATCCTCTGGTTGGGTTATCAAATAGCTTGATGTGCATAATGCTTTCTTGAATAGGTCTTTATCTGAGATTGTCTATATGAAGCAACCACCGGGATACATTGATACACAATTTCCCAATCATGTTTGTTTGTTGAAACGTTCCCTATACGGATTAAAACAGGCCCCTAGAGCTTGGTTAAATCGCTTACATACCTTCTTGATGGCAGCAGGTTTTAAAGCTTCAAAAACATATGTATATTTGTTTTACTACTCACAGAGTTCAGATTTCATTTATGTTCTTCTTTATGTTGATGACATTCATGTAATGGGAAATGATCAAGGTCTTATCAGCTCCCTTCTAATTGCTTTATCATCTGAATTCAAGATTTGGGATCTTGGTGAACTTGGTTTCTTCCTAGGGATTGAAACAATCAAGTGTAAGGATGAAATTTTGCTCTCTCAACAAAGATAGATGACAGATATCTTAAAACGTGCTGGCATGACAGACTGTAAACCTCGAGCCACTCCTATCTCTGCTTCTAAACCCACTATCTCTAATGCTGATTTATATGACGATGTCACACACTATAGAAGTCTGGCAGGTGTTTTGCAATATCTTACAGTTACACGCCCAGACTTATCCTTTACAGTAAATCAGCTGTGTCAGCACATGCATGCGCCTACAGTCTCGCATTGGGAGCAATTGAAGCATGTTATAAGGTATGTAAAGGGAACTATCACTTCTGGTTTGCGAATTTGGCGATCAGTATCCAGAGAATTACATGCTTTCTCAGATTCTGATTGGGCTGGCTATCATGAAGATCGTAAATCAACCAGTGGGTATGCAGTTTTTCTTGGTTCTAATCTTATATCGTGAGTATGCAAGAAGCAACGGACTATTTCTAGATCATCTACTGAAGCCGAGTATAAAGCTTTAGCAGATGTTTGTGCCAAGGTAGTCTGGACTCTCTCGCTTCTATGAGAAATCGGTATAACCGATGTGCCCGCTCCCAAGCTTTGGTGTAATCTTGGAGCTACATATATGTGTGCAAACCATATTTTCATGCTAGAACTAAGCATATAGAAATTGATTACCATTTTTTTGGAGATAGAGTTGCAAATGGTGATATACAGGTTAACTTTATTACAACCAATGATCAGTTAGCAGACATCTTTACAAAGGCTCTACCCGGTCCTCGGTTCTCGTTTCTTAGGGACAAACTACAAGTCACCAGTGTACCTTGTGCTTGAGGGGGAGTATTAGGAATCTATGTATTTGAGTTTGATTATGATTCCCTATCCAGTCTCTCTGAGACTTCCTTCTTATATATACCTGTAATCTGTACATTGTATTATTCCATTCAACACACACAACTCTATTAGCTCTCATCGGGATGAATAAGTCAATTAATCAAATGTATTTATAAAAATAAATACAATAATAGTGGGATTCAATATTTTAGAAAATAATCCCATATAGAAATGAACGAAAAAAATGAAAAAATTCAAGTTTTGTGTAATACGTAGTTTTCTTAAAATCGATTTGACACCTCCAGACGGTGCTAACACTATTTCTGCCAACACTATCAAAAAATTTTGAGGTGCTCTTTTTGTGCTCTAGTTAGTCGATAGTAATATAGTTTGAGTGTTCAAATACATTACTGTATTGTAATCAATTTTATCCTGGTCCTGGGAGGCTAATGCTACAATGGTGCTACTGCTACACTTTGAAATTTTTTGGTAATGTTGGCGAAAATTTCAAGAAAATATGAGAAAATTTCAATTTTGGTCCACTGACTATTGAAGTTGTGTTAATTGCAACACTTGACTTTCAAAAATGTTAATTTAGTACCTTGACTATGCAATTATTATCAATTTTAGTCACACCGGCCAAATTACAGGCCAAATGTGATCGAAAAATTTTAACTCATTAAATAAAAGGGGCAAAAGCGTCATTTCATGTTATTCAAACCTCCTTCTTGCTTCTTCCCCTCTTTGCTGCGGGGCAACGAGGATGAAGGCAATACGGGTTCAGCACAGCTTGCTGGGCGAAATTTTCACCTGATGAGGACCATGGAGAAGTGGGAAGAGTTGATTTCTGAAGCAAACAAGAATGGCCAAAGCGTGCTTGTAAATTTCAGTGCATCGTGGTGCAATCCTTGCCGACAAGCAGCACCGGCGTACCGTGACCTCGCCGAAAAGCATACAATAGTCATGTTTATTACCGTGGACGTTGACAAGTTAGTGGAGTTTACTTCTTCGTGGGATATAAAAGCGACGCAGACGTTCTTCTTCCTGAAAAAGGGGCGGCAGGTGGACAAGTTGGTCGCCGGCAGCAAGCAGGAGCTGGAGAAGAAGATACTCTCTATGGTGGCGACACCGGCGGCCGCCACCGCCGCAAGCTGATGATAGATCAGAGTTTGGTTGGTTGATTCATTCAAACACCAAACACTACATACTATAATGACTATCATGTAGAAAGAAAGAGACACGGAGAAGCGAAAATTGTGCAGATATTTGTTGCAAATTGAATTCTGGGTTTTGTCGCTCGTGAAATTTTGCAAATTTTTAATTTAAAAAATATATGAAATGACGCTTTTGCCCATTTTATTCAATGAGTTAAAATTTTCCGGTCACATTTGGCCGGTAATTTGAACAGCGTGACCAAAATTGATAAGAATTACCTAGTCCAGGTACTAAATTAACATTTTTGAAAGTCAAGTGTTACAATTAACACAACTTCATTAGTCAGAGGACCAAATTTAAAATTTATTCAGAAAAGATTTTTGAGAGAGAAACGACCCGCTTCCCTTTTACTTGATTTTCTAGCCATTGATCATTTCAAATTGACCGATTATATTAGTCCACAACTCTCACCTAAAGTGTTGTTCTCATCTTATCCTAATTGTGGGTGTATGTGTGTGTGTGTGTGTGTGTGTGTGTGTGATCTAGAAATTTTTCTAAGTGAGAGTGAAGTTTAAATAATGAATTCAAAAATATTGATGACAAAGTATCAAAATTTGATATGAATCACAAATATATTTCCTACCCTTATGAGAGTAAAATGAAAAGAAAAAGGTAAAAATTTGATATGAGAGTTAATAAAGGAAAATGTTGTTGGTGGAAGTTTGATCCCATTCTTTATATAATAAAGCTATATGGTTTGGAAAATAATTAATGTTACAATTAATGCCACAATATCTTTTATTATATCAAAAAAAAAAACACAACATTTAAAAAATAAAATAGCTATATATTATATAACCATATAAAAATATACTTTTGAAAAATAAAATAGCTATATATTATATAATCATATAATAAATGTGTTCAATTAGAGTTTAAATTTACACATACAAAATTTGAAATTTGCTTTCCAAATGTAATTATCTTAGTTATTATTTGTATTGTGAAAATTATAATATAGATGAAATACAATTAAGAATAAATCAATGTAATTATGTAAATTCTCTCTATAAGTTTATTTGAATATGCACATAATTAGAGATTATATTAATCATACAAAATTATAATTTTAATTTTAATTGTAATTTTGTATTCTATAAAAATAATAAATACTTGACCAATGGAAGCTCAAAAATATTATTATATTAAATAATTTAAAATATTTTAGTTTTTCTATTTTTTATTTATATTTATATTAACATAATTTTTTCCCGTGCATCGCGCGGGTGAATTACTAGTGAAAGAAAAAGTAATAAAAGAATGATTGTCTTTTCTATTAATTATTATCTTTGTAAAAATAGAGAAGGTGTACGAACAGAACGTTTAATTGAGACAAGAATGATTGTAATTTCTATTAATTGTCTTTGTAAAAATAAAGAAGGTGTTGAATAGAATATATTATTGAAACAAAGATTACAAGATATTTATAAGGTACTGTAATAAAATTCAGGTAATTATTGACTAGCGAGCTAATCTATCGCCTCACAATCAACCTGACCTCATCTATGGGCCCCAAGCTGACCTTGTTAGGTTGAGGTTGAGGTTATCCGTCTTCTAGTGCTAAGATGACATCGTCAAGCTGAGCTCTCAAGCTCATCCAACCCAAGACTTCAAGTCTTATCAAGAATTACCTCATTGGATTGTGATTATTCAATATGGGAGGCAAGCTCAAACTCTAGACTTGCAAGAAGAGCTATATTATGGACCATAGTCTAGATTATGTACACACAATTAACATATTATATACATTTAGTTAATAAAGCTACTTGAAGGTTTCTGGTTCCCACAATGTTTGTTATTTGCACCATATGAGAAAGGATATGTCAAAGCCATGGTTCAATCCTGGGACCTGGGGTTATGGGTCCACCACGCTTCCGTTGCGCATTTTTTATCTCTTATCCTGTAAAACCTAAAAAGGTTGTAGGCTACTACATATCAAAGCCAAGTTTCGATCCTGAAACCTTGGGTTATGTGCTCACCACACTTCTGCTGCATCACTCTGATTATTAAATATTAATACGATTTTTTTGTCTCTTATCTTGTAACATATAATATCAAATTAAAAAAAAAAAAAACAATCAATTAAGTTGTCTAAACATTTAGTTATTTGTATATACATTTTATTTATATGTATAAAGTATTGATATATATATATATATATATATGTGTGTGTGTGTGTGTGTGTGTGTGTGTGTGTGTGTGTGTGTGTACATACATACATATGTGTATGTATATACACACATATGTATGTATGTACACACACACACACACACACACACACACACACACACACACACACACACACATATATATATATATATATATATATATATATATATATATATATATATATATATATATATATATATATATATATAAGGGGTGGGAAGAGGTGATGGGGATAATTTCCCGCATTGCTTCCCCTTTGGATATGCCCCTGCTTATTAGGTCGAAGTGACCATTGCCCCCCACCCCCACCCCCTTATGAAGGTCGAAGTGGTGATTTTCGTAGTTTAGTATAAGTTTGAGGTAAAAGGTGAATAGACTTGGGGATAATTTCCCCCATTGCTTCCCCTTTGGATTTGCCCCTGCTTATTAGGTCGAAGTAACCATTGCCCCCCCCCTCCCCCCCCGCCCCTCCCCCCGGAGGTCGAAGTGATGGTTCCAGTAATTTAGTATAAGTCTGAGGTAAATGGTGAATAGACTTAGGGTCTGTTTGGAAATACAGAAAATGACTTCCGAAAGTTATTTTTCCGTGTTTGGATATTGAAGGAAAATAGAATCAAAAGTTGCTTAATACTTTCTCAATCTTGTTATTTTCAGCCAAACAATCATTCACGAGGTGTAGACGACGCACATGTCTAGACTTACCATTATACATATGATTCTGTACTCGACCAATTGCAGCTTGACTATCGCAATGCACACACATTGGAGGTACAGGTCTTTCCCAATTAGGAATATCCTCTAAAAAATGGCGTAGCCATTCAGCCTCTTCACAACATTTGTCCAAGGCTATCAACTCAGATTCCATCGTGGATCTAGCTATCACGGTCTGTTTAGAGGATTTCCATGCAACGGCTGCACCGGCTCGTGTAAACACATAGCCACTCGTGGACGTGGAGTCCTTAATATCGGATATCCAGCTAGCGTCACTATACCCTTCAAGTACAGCAGGATATCTCCCATAGTGCAGTCCAAGGTCTCGAGTATACCTTAAATATCTCAGAACCTTCACTATTGCCGTCCAGTGCATGGCACCGGGGTTACTCGGATATCTACTGAGTTTACTAACCGCAAAGGCAATATCTAGCCTAGTACAGCTCATTAGATACATCAAACTACCAATAACCCGAGCATATTCTACTTGAGAAATACACTCCCCGTGGTTCTTGGTTAGATGAACGCTTCGATCTAATGGCGTCCTAGTCCCTTGATGATTATCCTTGTTAAATTTTTCAAGGATTTTATCAATATAATGTGATTGGCTTAACACCAGACCATCAGGTCTTCTAATGATTCTAATCCCGAGGATTAAATCAGCCAAAACCATATCCTTCATGTCAAATCTCGCATTTAACATATTTTTGGTAGACTTGATCAATCGATCGTTACTACCAACGATGAGCATGTCATCTACGTATAAACAAAGAATGACATAACCGTCTATCGTTTCTTTAACGTAGACACATTTGTCACTTTCGTTTATTATAAACCCATTAGTCAACATCGCATGGTCAAACTTCTCGTGTCATTGCTTAGGCGCTTGTTTTAAACCATACAGCGATTTAACCAACTTACACACTTTCCTTTCTTGGCCCGGAACCACGAACCCTTCGGGTTGTTCCATATAGGTTTCCTCATCTAGTTCGCCATTTAGGAAAGCGGTTTTAACGTCCATTTGATGAACTTCCAAATTCCGCAGCGCGGCTATAGCAAGTATCATTCTAATGGAGTTTATTCTCGTCACGGGAGAATACGTGTCGAAGTAATCAAGGCCCTCGCATTGCCTATAACCCTTGATTACAAGCCTAGCCTTATACTTCTCGATGGAACCATCGGGTTTCATCTTCCTTTTAAAGACCCACTTGGATCCTAAGGGTTTACTACCCGGAGGAAGATCAACAAGTTCCCAAGTGTGATTCTGTAAAATAGAATCCACTTCACTTTTAATAGCCTCTTTCCAAATTGGTCCTTCTGTAGAAGTCACGGCTTCTCCGTACGTTCGAGGCTCGTTTTCTATCAAACAAGATAGAAAATCGGGTTCATTTTCTAATAAACAAGTTAGAGTACTCGAATCGTACTCCAACAAGTAAGTTAGAAAATCAGGACCAAATGATTTTTCAACTCTCGCCCGCTTACTGCGTCTTGGCTCGAGCTCGAGTTCTCTCTCGGATTCCCCACTATCATTATCCATAGCTTCGTCAAACGTTCGTTTTGACGAACTCGGTCCCTCATTGGACCTACAAGGAAATACATTTTCAAAATAAGATGCATTCCTTTATTCTATTATCGTGTTCTCGTGTACGTCCGGATTATGGGACTCGTGTACTAAGAACCGATAAGCACTACTATTATGTGCATAGCCAATAAAGATACAGTCCACCGTCTTAGGACCTATCTTTACTTTCTTAGGTGTTGGCACCAAAACATTGGCAAGACACCCCCACACTTTCAGGTACTGGTAGGAAGGTTTCCTACCGTTCCACAGCTCATAAGGAGTCTTATCGAGATTCTTGTGGGGTACCTTATTCAAAAGGTAATTACTTGTCAAAATAGCCTCACCCCACACATCTTGAGGTAGACCCGAACTTATAAGCATCGCATTCATCATATCTTTCAATGTACGATTCTTTCGTTCGGAAACACCGTTCGATTGAGGTGAGTAAGGTGCCGTACGCTCGTGTATTATACCTACACTCGCACAGAAGTCACCAATA